TGAGCATCACTGCCACCAGCCTCAGAGGGACCCACCAAGGGCACCTTCATGATCGAGCCTGAGGTCAGCTCCCTCCTCTGCAGTACCACAGCCCCAGACCCCTCCCTCAGAGGGTATCACCCTCTGGGTTGCCACAGCTGCCTCTCAGAACACTCCACTGCTGCCCAGGCTGCTTTTCCTCTATGTCCCCACAGGCAGGACAGGACCAGGCACATACCTGGCACCTGGTACTGTTTAAAGAATGAACGAGTGAAGCACTTCTGCAGGACAGAGGAGCCCCGTTCCTTCTAACTCTGAGTCTAGTCTTTAAAGGGAGGATTCATTAATCTTTTAAAAAAACATTATGGGTAATCAGAACACTGGACAATACATTCAAATATCAGCATGAAGTCACGCTCCAAAGTGGAACCAGTCTTAAATCACCTGCAGCCTGGGGCAAAAGGGCAAGAATTGTCCCCTTAGTATAAATGACATGGGGAAAGAAAGGAGTGATGGCCCTTTTGAGGAAGACTAAAAAGAGGGATTGGGTCTGCATTTAGCCAGAAGAAAATGGGAACTCCCAAAAGGAATGTCCCCACCCTTCCAGGCCAGGAGAATCATCTGAGCATCTTGCAGGTCAAAAGAGCACAGACATGGCAACACAGTCACAGGGGTTGGTGCCTGAGGCCACTTACTGGGGAAAGAAGACTCTAGCTCAAGGGTAAGTCTGAGAAATAATCAAAAGCATCCAAGGAGCTTCACCCTCCACCTCCAGAGTAAACACGATATAAAAATGCAGTGTGTCACATGTCATGTAATAAGTTCATCAAATCCAGAACTGTGTGAGTGAGGTCAACAGCATCTTCAAATGTCTGCAGGTAACACTGCGCCTGTGATACCGCAGTCAGGCTGTCTCCAGCAATAATCAATTTCCATGTTTCATCATGGAGAATGAATTCTCACTTTTGAACATGCTACAATGTAAAACCATCTGACATGTTATATACGTAAGAATCAAGATAAGTTTAGGACAAACTTTTCTTCATGACAGGATACATTTTCTCCTTCTGAAGCCTAAAGAAACCTGAACCAAAGTTCCCCATGGGTCTGAACCACACGTGAAGAGAGGCTGCATTCAGGGGTGTCGCTTTCTTTTGCTGATGGTCTTAGCTACAGAGCTGCACTTAGACACATCTTGGAACACAGCTGTGTGTCTTTACCTTCTGTCAAAGTCCAGATTAGTTGGAACGAAGTTACCTCAGAAGAGAGAGAAGCGAGAGAAAGGAAATTCTCCAATGGTCAACATACCTGAATCCCACACAGTGCTTATCTACTTACACGTTTTCTTTTAAGGTAGCAAGATAGGACTCCGTCTCCGCGGGAGGAATGTCCGAGTCTAATCCAGCCAAGTATTCGTAGACGTAGGAAAAAGTCTCAAATGGGATATGGGCAGGCCCGCCCTCCGGATCCGTGGTGAGGATCTCGCAAAGGTGCTTCATGGCGGTGTTTATCGACTAGAAACAGCACAGGCCAGGTGTGGGGGGGGAACAATTACTCCTGGGGTCACCCAGCTTTACACTCGATCTTAGCCAAAATGCTGAGATGCGATGGTCACTAAACTTTAAAGAAGACCCCAGCAGAATAAACACTCGAGCGTATTTTACAGAAATTCCCCAAAAAGTATGTTTTTCATCTAAATTAAGAACTAGGGGTGAATGTATAATTGCCATAATGAAAAATAAAAAGGTTTTGATCAGGATGCAACTGGCCAGAGATAATGTAATTCACAGATTTTATTTATATTAAGATGGGAATGAGTGTCACAGACAAGAGGAAGCATTCGTCTTTAAAGACCAACTTCCTAAGCCAATGCAGAACGATGCAGCCCCTTGAGACCCAGAGACACACCCAGGGATGTGCCCAGGGACTGGGCAAACTCTGCCACCAACCAGAGGTGCCACCTTTGGAGGGCAGGGCCGGCGGGCTGGACCACCTGTGTGCCCACCAATGCGCCTGACCATCCAGGCACGTCCTTGTTCACGCAGAAAGCTCTGAGCCTTATCTTGGTTCCAGGAAAGCCCCAGGCCTTTCTCCTGTGAGGACTGTCCTCCCTCCCACTACTGGTAGCCGCACACTGGCTGGCACCCACCCCCCACTTTCTCTACCTTCATTCCACCCTCCTCCCTGCAGCAGAAGCTTCCAGAGCACCCTGCCCTCCCTCCTTCAAGCCCCATGGCAGGGGTAGCATATGGGCCATGGTCTTCCTCATGAGCCCACTGTGTGCATGGCACCCGTTCCATGGCCTCCCACCTCCAACTTGCCCCATTTATCCCTATTGGAAAAAGATGAATTTTTTTTTAAAAGGAGGAAAAAACCCTGTAAAAACAGATTACTGTCTTTAAAAAAAACAGAATACATAACTCAAGTCTCCTTGTCTTCTTTCCAGACATCACGACCTGCAGTCTAAAGACTGGGTGCACTGGAGGACAGGCATTCTAATCCCACAGGTGGCCTACGGGACCCATGCCTCAACCCCCAGCCCGAGTCCTTTCTCTGGAGCTGTCCTTGCCAGAGTGACTCTCGTATCTGCCTGGGCTGTCTTGCTACTCAGGGACGGATGCGGGCAGACTCACGAGGGGGTTAGATGTAATACCCCAGGCCAGCAGCACACAGAAGCACTCACTTCTTTATTCCTCCATCTTCTCCACCTGCCTACTACAGACAAGGAGGCAGCGACGAACAGCCACCTACCACCACCTGCTCTCATGGAGCGTGCAAGCCAGTTGGGAGAGCCAAGCAACAACCTGGATTCCAGGGCAGGAGGTGCTGGGCTGGAGGTGACATTTTTAATTGGGTGCTCGGAGAAGGTCTAACTGAGCAGGTAACAGGTAAGCAAAGCCTCAGAGGGGAAGGAACCAGCCAAGCGGGCTGCTGGGAGAGTCCCAGGGGCACATCTGTGCGCTCTAGAAATAGCCAGGAGCTCAGTGCAGATGGAGGAGGTGAGGGAGGGGTAGGGAAGTGAGAGATGAGGTCTGTGGGGTGGGGTGGGGGCTGGTCACGGGGTCCTTACAGCGAAGGAGGACTCGGGTTTTCACTGTGTACTATAGGAAGGTGCTGGAGGGTTTTAAACAAAGATGAGCACTGTGGAAGGTTTCTAAGGAGTCCCACTAGCTGATGTGTGAAGAAGGGCCCGATGAGGAGGCTCCCGGAATAATCCAGCCAGAGACCAGAGGCTGAGCTGGGTCGGATTTGGGGCCTATTTGGAGGTGGGCTCAGCAGGAACCGCTGATGGTTGGATGCGGGATGAGAGACAAAAGAGTAGAAAGGGAGTCCAAAGTTTGGGGCCTGAACAGCTGGAAGGATGGGCTTGCTATTTTCTGGGATGAAGAAGACT